CTTTTAAAAGGACCTCGTCACCCATGTTTGTTTGTATGTTAGCTGCTTCTTTTCTGTCTTTAGAAGATGCTAAAATTATATAGAAAAAATTTATGTTTGAGGAAATAACAGTACAAGTACAATACACCCAAGATCTACAGAATTCTTTTAATTTTTATAATATTGTAGTGCAAATTTATATGCTAGAATTAAGAATTAAATAAAGAAAATGTTACTATAATAAGCAAAAGTTGTAATACTTTTATAATGTGCATTAATATATCATTGGTACATTTGTATGGGAAAGAAATAAAATTATTTTTAGTCACTGCTCTTTCTGCCTCAAGCATGAAAGCTAAATTTTCCTCACTTGTGACAGAACATGTCGATAGCCATCTGACAGCAGTACGTGTAAATGTTGCACCGCCAATTCAGTACGTGTAAATGTTGGACCGCCAATTGAATAATGTAATCTTCCTGAGATGTTCTGGATCTAGATAAAGAAATAATTATATTTATTTTAATTATTATATTGTAATTATAATATTCATCGTAACTGATGCAAATTTAGTTCATATATGTTTACATAAGTCGAAATTACCATTTTTATCTGATAAAATAATAATCAATGCAACAAAGTATTACTTTTTGTCGATTTAGATAAGCTGACATAAATGTTCTCTAATCATATGCAAATACATACATACATATATGAAATACTCAAATGTACAGGGTATCCTAAAACCATCGAATATTCTTCCGAAACATATTTTTCACAATTATTTTCAAATCTCGAGAAGAAAAGGTGCTATTATCGTTTATTCTGTTATTCTTAACATTACAAGTTTTATATAACTAAATTCAAAATTAGAATTCTCATTTGAAATTGATTACGATATTATCTATTTTCTTGCCTGAAGAACTTAGATAAAAAAAAACCAATTGTTAATTGCTCGAAAATTATATATGTAATAACTCCAGTAAAAAAAAATCTGTTTTAAATCAATAAATCTATGAAATATATAATATTCGATGATATCGAGACATCCGTTATAATTCGCAAAGATTATCACGCGATATTCTTTTGCAATATATGTACATACGCTAATACAAGCATTCACATAATTTCGAAAAATAAGAATTTCAAACTATGTAAGAGAGAGAAAGAGATTAATTTCTATGTATCTCTTTTACAAAATAACATTGTCAAAAAGTCAATCAACTATCAAGCTGCTCTGCGCGAGACACCATTGCCACAGTATACACAGTAGCCATGAGTAGCCACTGTGTAGTGTGTAGTCGCTGTTCTCTTAAATTCTGAACAACCATAATGCACGAGTATCCAGAAGTGACACCCAATGGCCCACATTCTAATTGCTCAGGAAACTTCGGAATTTATAATAATAAAGAGGCTTTGCCTATAACTCGTATCAGACTATCCAAGGAACGTTCTATCAATTAACTATGATCGGCTGCGTTCGTTTTTGACTGCGCTATATAACTGTTAAAAGCATTTGATTGATAAATTGAAGTGAAGATTTCTTTATCCTGATTATAGAGTCAATCAAACTTTGAATTCTCGCGCGCGTGAAATAATTCGAACTTTATCAACTACTCTAATCAATTTCACACAACTTACTTTTATTATATTTATACTATTAAAATGATTAAATTGTCTGTATTCAAAACTTAAATAATAAGATTGAAATTATAATTACGTAATCACATTAGTTACAATTGTTTTTCAACTGAAAATAAGTTAATTAAACTTACACTTGATAATAAAATCGATAAATCGAATCGCATGTTTATATTTCGTTCAAAATTCCTCATAAATATTCCGCTTTTACGTTTATATTCGATACTTAATTTATAAAGATATATGAGTAAAATATTCGATAATTATTATTTATTCTTCACATATTGTAATAATTAAGAATTAAGAGGATTAAAACTCAATATTGAAAATTAATTTAAAAAAATCAGAAATATACTTTCCTTAAGAAAAATCATTCTTGTAATACATATAGTGGAAATAGACTACACGTTAATTTTGCGATTATTTAGCAAATTAAAAATAAAGAAGAAAAGATGATTTATATCGAGAATTTATCTAGCTTTTCCCGTAAATTTTTACGCAAATATGAATTTCCGTCAATGAAAATTTGTTACCCTATGTTTCAATTAATCTTCAAGGTTTTGTCGCGCACGATTTTTGCATATCTTGATTCATTTTTACTGCTTCGTAAAAAATACGCGATCCCCGAAACATGGCCAATAAAAACTTTTTGATAAAATTTGATTCTAAATTAATGCAAACGAAACGTGTAATACAATACATGCTGTATAATAGGACGATATGTATTGTAATAATATCAAGGACAAGATCATTATGAAATGATATTTGCCGCACTATTTCATTTTTATTGCCGGATAATGTCAGGAATAAAAGCGAATAGCAAAGAGAAGAAATGTGTACGCGGTAGCGATATTTATTGATCATTTGTCACTTTATACACCAGTATTGTAAAACACATTTGCAACAAATTTCTTGCACTCGCTAAACAGTTTACACAGCCGTTAATAATGTTGCGAGTGTCAATATTTTTGTAAAACTTACATATATATAAAAGAGTTTAGCTCTCAATATCGCAAAATCCATTTAATTGATTCAGTTTCTTCTCAGTATCCAGTAATACATTCTTTCGTATCGTAATGAGAACCGTCGCTGCAATACTTATAACTTTTCTCGTACGATGCGTGTATTTACATCCTATGTATGAATCGGGTGTTAGTGAAGATATAGGAGAATTTTTTAACTCGTCCTGTATCTTTGGCCCTAAATCCATGTCGATGATTTTATTCAACAGGTAAGGCGCAAATAAATTTGCCATTAATTCATTTCTCGCGCGCTGATTATATTCGCATCTCTTTCAGTAATAATCCTGAGGGCAAAGATATCGGGGAAAAAGAAAGCTGTAAGTATATTGATCCTTCGAGACCGATTGTCTTTTTGGTCCATGGTTTTACCAGCTCTGGAAATAATACTAATAATTATGATTTGGCTTTGCAGTTGGTAGAGGTAAATATTTGATACCTGATATATATATATATATATATATATATATATATGAAAAATTGATATCAACATGCAATATATTTATAGACATACTTGTTGATTTTTGTTTTTATAGAAAGACTATACAGTATTTTCATTGGATTGGTCTGCTGCAGCATGCACAGATGGAATACCCATAATAAAACTGCTGGAATATCCTGCAGCAGTAAAAAACACTCGTGAAATAGGAGAGCTTATGGCGAAGTATTATTTTACATATGTTATGTTAAAAAAAATTGAGATTTAATAAATACAATATTAAATGGAGTCATATATCAAATGATACACTCCAATATTATCACAATATATACATAATAATAATAACTAATATATAATGCTAGACAAACATAGTATTCAATAATAAAATTATTATGTTATATAAAATGAAGACGCAATGTACAAACAACTTGGCACGATGTCCTCCATTCATATGTTTATATGAATTTTCTTTTCCAGATACGTTATAACACTGATAACGGATTGCAAAATTCCACTGGATAACATAACGTTTGTCGGTCACAGTCTCGGGGCGCATGTATGTGGCTTCGCTGCAAAAAACATTCATAATTTGGGTTACGGCAAAATGCCGCTTATCATCGGCGCCGATCCTGCGGCGCCGCTGTTTGGGTGGAATAAGTGCGAGAATAGGCTCTGCAAGACGGATGCCATACATGTAATAATTGTTCACACATCGCTTCTCGGAATGCAGTCCAACATGGGTGACGTCGATTTGCGGTTTAATGGTGGAAAGGAACAACCAAACTGTGGTGAGATTAATTATTATATTTAATTAATGCATTCAAAGATGTTGAATATTACGAGAATGACAGAAAGTGAAAGACACTGGAAATATTGCAAATAAAATTCATGTTTTAGGTTTGGATGTTTCATGTTCACATAGCAGATCCATGGTCTATCTGGCCGATATATTCGATAATTGTGTATATCCTGGTGATAAAATAAGTTCATCGTAAGTGTGTTTTTTTATAATCAATTAGCATGTTTAATCGGGTCTAACTTTCACGAGAATTCTTCTTTGAATAAAAAAAATATTATTGTATCATATTACATACATTTGTATATAAGAGACAGAAAAATAGGAGATTACATTACCCGATCTTTCTTTTTTTCAGATTTTTGGGAACACTCAGAAGGTATAAATAGCTCGATTGCTCAAAATCATTTATTTAAAAATTCTGTTTTTTTATTTGACTATTGTTTTACTTGTCTTTTTTGCAGGCCATCTTATCCTGGTCCTAATACAACTAACTGCGTCGCCTTTGGATCTTTCATGTTCACATACCAGATCCATGGTCTATCTGTTCGATATATTCAATAATTGTGTATATCCTGCTGATAAAATAAAGTCATCGTAAGTGTGTCTTTTTATAATAAATTAGCATGTTTAATCGGGTCTAACTTTCACGAGAATTTTTCTTTAAATAAAAAAAAATATTATTGTATCATATTACATACATTTGTATATAAGAGACAGAAAAATAGGAGATTATATTACCTGATCTTTCTTTCTTTCAGATTTTTGGGAAACCTCGGAAGGTATAAATAGCTCCATTGCTCAAAATCATTTATTTATAAATTCTGTTTTTTATTTGACTATTGTTTTACTTGTCTTTTTTGCAGTACACCATATCCTGATCCTAGTACAACTAACTGCGTTGTCGTAAATGACGAGATTTTCAATATCAAGCAAAACGACACACTCAGGGACGGAGATTACTACGTATTCGTCCAGAAGGATTCTCCGTATTGCACACAAAAATCTTTTAGTTGCAAGTCACTGATTGAATAGCAGCCAATAACTGACTTTAAAACTTTTATTTTATTGTATTAGAAATAAAGTTTCATAAATGGTACTGTTTTAAATAAGCAATTAAATCGCACGATAGCACAGCATATAAAAATCCTTTTTTCTTGATATCCTTGAACTCTATTATTGAGGGAAGAGAATTGGTAGTTGCATCGCCCAATGTTGAACAGATGCGTGCTGTTTCTGCGTGTGGAACGCAAATTTTTTTGTAAACTTTTTCTTTTATAAAAGAACATTGTCAAAAAATCACATGTCGATCAACTGTCAAAGCTTCTGCGCGAGACAACGTCGCCATAATATATACAGTAATCATGAGTGAGTAGTCAATTAGGTCCTAAAAATTTTTTGGTTCTGATTGGTCAATCGAACGCAGCCTACATAAAGCCCGTATCAGACTACGCATTGAAGATTGAGATTCAAGATTCAAGATTAAAATTTGACCAATCAGGACAAAGAAATTTTAGTCCCTTTTGTTCTGATTAGTACCGAAAATCTATAGTATATGTGACGTAAACTATAGATTTTCAGTACTGGCAGAGAATATCGGAACACGGCCAATATAGGGCCAATTTCATAAAGTCCAGTTAGATGAACCGACGGTTAAAATTAGCAAGGTGGCCAACAGAAAATAGAGGTAAAGGAAAACCAAGGCTGCGTTCCGTTTCATGCATAATGCGCATAATGCATAACTTATCCTTATTTAACATTCGGTGAACAACAAAGATAAGTAATGCAACATGCGCACCATGCATGAAACGGAACGCAGCCCAAGTATTCATATCATTTCAGTTGGAACCCTGCTAATTTTAACTGTCGGTTAATCTAACCGGACTTTGTGAAATTGGCCCTAATACGGCTCTATGGCCGATATTCATAGTCAGTTCCATAGACATAGTATATCTAGACCGAGCGTTTGCCTTTATTTAAGGAGTGGGGGTAAAGATGCACGACATCAAGATCGACAGGCTCCTTTATCTAACAATAAGTTTTAAGGTGCCTTTACATGGCAGCGTCAAGCGTCGAGCGTCTGCGTAGAAAATTGCGCAGAATCTAATTTCAGCCTAGAATCTATCTCTTTTAAATTCTGCGCATTTTTCTGCGCAGACGCTCGACGCTTAAGTGCCAGTCTACAATAGGTGATTTAAGCCCTAAACCTTAAGAAATTGACGAATCACAATCAAGTATGAGAAGAATACTCGACTGTGATTAGTCAATTTCTTAAGGCTTAGGGCTTAATTCTGCACATTTTTCTGCGCAGACGCTCGACGCTTAATGCTGCCATGTAAAGGCACCTTTATGCTCTATGATCCAAGTTTGACACTCCGACCGTTCCGCTGGTTCTATCGATTCGCCGTTCGTCGTTCCCTGTTCATTGTTTATGTGACGTGGTGATAGCCGTGGTCCGTGGTAAATCTCGGTGCCAATGGTGGACATATTTATATGTAATCTGTGGTAGTAGATACAGAGTGCCGGTTGTGTTCGAATCAACGAAACTGGAAATTTATCTCTTCGATTCACGTAAATCTTCGCAAACTCTCACTATGTTGCATTCGATATTCGACGACGTGCGACGTATGAATAAACGCCAGGTAAACTTTTTCCTTCAATGACGATCGTTAAGGTATCAGAGATCGCATATGGTGGCTATATATCAGTGTTCTCTGATTTTTAGTTCCTGTATCAAGTACTGAGCTTTGGCATGATAGTCTCGTCGGCCCTGATGATATGGAAGGGTTTGATGGTCATCACCGGTAGTGAAAGCCCTATCGTGGTGGTATTGAGGTATAAAAATAGACCTAAATCTAACCTAGTTTCTCTCTCCCCATTATCTATGTATCTGAATAATTTTTGAAATAATTAATTGTTCTTTATCGTTAAGAGTTTGCCAATTTGTAATTGGTACTATCTACTTCCACTGACAATACAGGATGTTCCTAAGTTGATTATCTATTTTACGAAATATAGTCATTGATTTTAAGGCGATCCATTGCTTCGCAGAACATGCATTCAAGTATTGCAGGTGTTACTTAAACCACTTTGGATAATATGAGTTTGAAGATCAGTTACATTTCTATTTCTTCTACACTTTAAGTTTAATAAAACCACAGGCAACAAATTTAATGGTGTTAAAACAGGCAAATGTGCTGTCCTTGCCCGACATAAAGCAAACTTGAACTTTTATAAATACATGAATTTATATAACAGTGGATATACCATTATGCCAATATATAACAATTTTTTTTAATATCTCATTTTTTATCAAAATAGATAATCACTTTAGAAACATCCTATAAAATACATTTGTTTTACCATATAGAAAAATGTTTAAAGATAGAAATATAGTAGCAGAAAGCTTGATAACAGCAAACATTATATTGCTTATTATATTGAATTAATTCAATAAACTTGCAAAGAGAACATCCATATAGAATAAAATCAATAATGCTTGATAAATCTATATTGATCCATTTGTACTAATTCTTAACACAGTGGCAGCATGGAGCCTGCGTTTCATAGAGGTGATTTGCTCTTCCTTACTAATTATCAGGATGAGCCAGTAAGAGTGGGCGAGATCGTTGTTTTCAAAGTCGAGGGCAGGGATATACCTATTGTACACAGAGTACTTAAACTTCATGAAAAGTAAGATTCATGCCATTTATGAAATACAAATATATTGATAATATAAGATAAACAAAAGACGTCAAATTTCTAGGGGTGACCAAAATAATACAGTCAAGTTTCTTACGAAAGGTGATAACAATTCCGTGGATGACCGAGGCTTGTACGCGCCTGGTCAGCTGTGGCTGACGCATAAGGATGTGGTCGGCCGGGCTAGAGGCTTTTTACCATATGTTGGCATGGTCACTATATACATGAACGAATATCCTAAGTTTAAGTATGCAGTATTAGCATGTCTTGGACTGTATGTTTTGGTACATAGAGAATAAAGTTATGCTCTCAATAAGTTGAAACGTTATGTTATGGCAAATTGTGAATGTCCAAGAAAATGCTTGGATTGATTGTTGTATGTATGTATGTGTGTGTATATATATGTATATATATATATATATATGTATATATATATATATATACATATATACACACACACACACACATATGGCACTGCAACTTCCTTTTCTAGTATGTTTTAAACTAACAATTTTATTCTTACACACACACACATACATACACACACATATAAGATGCTACCTTTTTTATATTTTTACTAAAATACGAACGATGCGTGTGTGTACACAGTGGCATAACCGCATCGCGTAGACATATTTCGACTTACAATTAAATGAAATCCAGGATACTAGATAGACTGAATGCGCTATTAGAAAGTAGTTAGTTATATATTTTGGTGAATTTTGTTCTCAAAATTTTCCTCTAATGCCGAGATAGAAAATGTGCATCGTGCGATCCGTTTATATACTTAGTGCTTTTTACATAAATGGTAATCAGCTGATTAAGCCACAATATATATATATATATATACAAGAGCTATGTACAATAAGAATATTCATACATACATCATTGAACTTAATTAGGAATTACGGAAACATTCAAGTTTAAATGCATTTCACTGTACATATATTTCGTCAACAATCCGAAAATGAATTTGATAACGTTGCTCGAATAATCGCAAATAGATTTTGCTCGCACTTCTTGATTTTCATATCCAGATGAGATTTGTTTATGTGAACGATCGATTCAAGATGTATCATGTTTGAATCTGTTTGTAATCACATTATGTAGTTCCAATTTAAAAAGCTATGTATGATATATATACATATTCTGTCTTTATAATAAAATTGCAGTATAATTAACAAAAAGTATTAGTCACATAAATCCGATGCGAGGCTGGTCATTAACCGCACTCGAAATTGTTATACGAATTGTACATACATACGCGAAATGCGGGATTACATTTATTCTATTTACCAAGCATCGATTAGTAAATACTCTGCAAATAGGAAGCAAGCAATTTCGAGTTTTGCGTTCAAACATAAAAGAAATATGCAACTTGATTTATTTTTCTTTTACTGATTCTAATTAACAATATGAAAGTGATTATTTCGAGAACGATTACTATTAGTACTAACTGTGAAATCCAATGTCTAGATCATTGCAGATTATCTACACAAAAAATCCTTATTTTTATGCTGCTCATAATCTGGACCACAATTGCGAATTTTTGAGATATCTCGAAACCCGATTGCATTTTGTTTGTGTGCGACAGAAATGTTTATAAGTATTTTCTAAAATCTTTTAGAAATCTTTTAGAAGAGTTGCCTTTTTGAATATTTCTGTGTTTCTTAATAATATAATACAGTAATTATACATCACAATTCATAAAAGTAACACTAGTCATTGTTCAGCATGTTTATAACGTGATCGTATAACGTTTATACAGACATAACAGTGTTAATTTTTCTCCGTTAATTCTACTTGAAAAAAATGGCATTATATTATATAAATATAAAATCTTAATGTGAAACGGATTAGTTAATTTGAAACAGATAAATTTTGTTATAAGGGGAAATTTTTTTGTTATGAAGGGATGTGAGAATATATCGATATAAAGATAGATAGTATTCTAAATATCCCAACATGCGCATCTTTGTGAGAATATATCGATTGTTTTTAACAAGGCACACTGTAATTATTTTTGTCTCATATGAAATAAATTTGTAATATTTGAATCTCTACTATAACATATATTACTAAGGCCTTTTTATTTTCTACTATTCTATTTTTATATTATATTCTACTTTTATATACTACTTTCTCTAACTTTATTCATATAATCTTTTTTTATTGTTTTGGGGTATAAAATTCACCCTCAATGTTTGTATAAATCTTTCAGTTACATCCTATATATATATATTTTTATATATATTTTTATCTGATTCGAATATAGGGACAAAGATAGAAATCAACGTACTTCTAAACGTATCCACAATTCTTTGGGATTGATGACTAGGCCAGGTAGCTTGTCCTCGAGACTCGATGACTCACCCTCAACGAAAAAGAAATTAAAATTTTGTATTAAGAGGGCTATCGATTCGAACATATTATATCTGGCATAAGTTTCCCCCGCACATAATCGATGACCTGTTAAGACAGAAAATATTTAATTATTCTTTTATATTAGTATTATTATCATTATAAATATATCATAAATTTAAATTGATATACACTCTTAGGGTGGACTATTTTAATAATCAATCCACGCGAATATCTCGAAAACTGAGCCCGATAGACAAAAATGTTTTAGACAAAAGTTGCATGGTTTCGAGGAGGCCATATGATAAAAATATGGACTTGACCTTGAGTGATCTTTTCAAGATGAGGTCAATGTGATCGATGTTTTCTTAAATGTAATCCCCCATTTTTTATTGCATATTCTTGTAGCTTATCTCAAGAGCTTTTCAAAACACTATAATAAAGTATTTTTCATTGAGTATTTTTTGAATTATTTTCTATCTTAATCTGACATATTTTAATATGAAAAATAAAATATCTCGTAGAATATTTAGTTTTCGATAATTTTATCGTAATACTTTTATGTACAGAAAAATGAGACAAATCAATTAGTGTAAAAAAAAAATTATTTAAAAAGATACATTGTAAGTAATTACATACTTTTTCTTAAAAATTATTTATATTTCTATTATTAATTATTAATTTTCTTAATTATTTTTTTTATACTAATTGGTTTGTCTCATTATTCTGTACATAAAAGTATTACGGTAAGATTATCGAAAACTAAATATTTTACGAAATATTTTATTTTTTATATATGGGGGATTACATTTAAGAAAACATCGATCACATTTACCTTGAAAAAGTCACTCAAGGTCAAGTCCATATTTTTATCATGTGGTCCCCTCGAAACCATGCAACTTTTGTCTGAAACATTTTTGTCTATCGGGCCCAGTTTTCGAGATATTCGCGTAGATTGATTAAAATGGTTCATCCTGTATATAAAAAACTACTAAATTTTTTTCTAGATACATTTTATATATCACCGTATATCGACTCACCGAAACCGAAGGGAAGTGTCAAATCTTTACTTAATTGTCCATCTTCCTTCAAAAATCTTTCTGGTCTGAAGTTCTTGGGGTCGCCCCACATATCAGGATCACTATTCATTGCCGCCAAGTTGGTGACAACCGGCGTGTTTGCCGGTATCTCGTAGCCTCCTAACGTAGTTTTTTTCACGGTTTTATGAATTATGCCGAGCGGGGCAAGTGTCTCGATTCTTAAAGATTCACGGATTGTCGCTTCCGTATAGGGCAGACTGAAACAAAAAAAGAATACCTTCAAATACGAGGTTTGATCAAAAAATACGCGGATTTTTGTTTTTCTCAAAAAATCTTTATTTATTCATCAATATTAATTTTGTCCCCATCAAAGTAGTCCCCATTAGATATAATACACTTGTGCCAGCGCTTTTTCCAATCTTCGAAGCACTTCTGGAACGCAATTTTCGGTATGGCGTTTAGCTCCTTCAGCGATTCTGTCTTTATCTCCTCAATGTTGGCAAAACGTCGTCTTTTCATGGTTTTTTTCATCTTCGGGAATAGGAAGAAGTTGCAGGAGGCCATGTCTGGCGAATACGGAGGCTGAGGCATCATAACGGTGTTGTTTTTGGCCAAAAATTCACGAACAAGCAGTGAAGTGTGAGCAGGTGCATTATCATGGTGCAATTGCCATGAGTTGTTCGTCACAAATCCGGGCGTTTTCTTCGGATCGCTTCACGCAAACGGCGTAGAACTTCCAGGTAGTACTTCTTATTGACCGTACTATCTGGTGGCAAGAACTCATGGTACACTATGCCGTTGAAATCGAAGAAAACAGTAAGCAGAACCTTCACATTCGATCGAACTTGACGAGCTTTTTTCGATCTTGGCTCTTCAGGAAGCTTCCATTGGGACGATTGGACCTTAGTTTCGATGTCATATCCGTACACCCATGTTTCATCACCAGTTATGACTCGTTTGAGCAGTTTTGGATCGTCGTTGACTTCATTCAGCAACTCCTGAACAATGTCCATTCGGCACTGCTTTTGGTCAAAATTCAACAATTTCGGAACAAATTTTGCTGCCACACACGTCTCATGCCCAAAACATCCGAAAAAATTGCTTGGCATGAGTCAAATGATATGCCAACATCATCAGCAACCTCTCTGATAGTGATTCGGCGATTGTCCATATAATCATTTTCTTCACTTTTTCGACGTTGTCATCGGTTGTTGATGTGCTGGACCGTCCAGGGCGCTCGTCATCTTCAACGTCTTTACGGCCCTCTTAGAAACGTTTGTACTACTTGTAAACGCTTGTTTTATTCATAGAAGACTCGCCAAAAGCAACATTCAACATTTCCAATACGGTGCTGCACTTTATTCCATTCTTAAAGCAAAATTTAATGCAAATTCTTTGTTACATTTTTTCCACAAGTAAAAAATTGCCGAGCACACCAAACACGTGTAACCTTTTCGACAGTCAACAATAAAGTAAGCATCCAATATGGCTACCAATGTCAAGATCAGTGATGCCAGAATGGCCACGCTAGCAACACGCAACTGTAGTGGAGGGGATGACAAGTGAATTCTTGTTTCCACAGCTTGAAAAAATGCATTAAAAGAATTTAAAAAATTTAAGAATTTAAAAAGAATTTAAATATGCTTTAAAAATAACTAATATGCTTTTACATCCGGATTTTCCATCACAGACGCGTGTCGAGAGGAAGAACGTATGCGTGCGGCAAGCAAGATGGCCGTAGTAACGGTCCTACCATTACAACTCACTTTATTCTGTCCTCCCACGTGACCAATCGTCCGGTCCCAACGACATTGTCTATCTCATTCTGGACTTTCTTCATAACTTTGGGATTATGCATCAAGTACTTAATAGCGTGGGTAACGGCGCTTGGTAACGCGGAGAAAGCGGGGAACATCATATCGACTAGCAAAATGATCAGTTGCTCTTCCGTAAAATAATGCGACTTGTCATCTTCATTTAACTTTTTCAGATAATTATCGACGAATCCCCGATTGACGTTCTCGCTGAGAGTAGCTTTTTGACGCTCCAAACCTTTCTATAAAATCATAGTATAAAACGTATAAAACATGTGATTGTATCTTTCTAAATAATAAGGAGATTTTTCTGTTTATTTTATACGCGATATATAAATTTTATACTTAGCAATTTTAGTAAACTCGAAACAGCTATAGTTTCGCAAAATGGTTAGATATAAATTTTATATATCCCGTTGATATAAAATATATCTAAATAAAATATATGAGCCAATTGTATGCACACAAACGTACACACATAAGTCTGCTGTCTCTTTTCAGTAGTATAAAAAAATTCTGAGAAATTATTAGAGTATTTAAACATGAAATTTTGAAAATTTATGTAGCGATTCAAGCGCGCATTTAAATCAGAACTAGATTTTATGTCACACGTAATTGTATTCGTTCGACAAAGAACTCTACCTTGACAACATCTACCATTGCGTAATTTCCTTTTATATGATTTTTATAGCCAAACATATTGCCAAAGTATTTCAAGAACGGACGTTGAAAGAGCGCGCCGCCGCTTGGATCGTTCGCTCTTTGCATCATTAAGGCCGAGCGACAGAGATGTCTCGGGATATCGTGTTCGCTTCTGTCAAATCTGTAACCGAACATCACATTCCATATGTTATTAGCTGACGACGCGTATAAAACATCCGGGAAGAGCGCCAAGTTGCCCCTTATTATTTCCTGCGAAAACGAAATTTTCTTCATTACGAAAGAATGATATTCACATATTTATATTTCTTAGAACGGCCGTACCTTTTCTGCGTCATAAATTGGTCCGTTTTTCAGGATATCGATGAACAGAGTCATCTCGTCCATGATCTCGCTCTCGAGTTTCTCCTGACGTCGACCGAATCCAAAGTCGCGCATATGGCGAAGAGCGAATCTTCTCTGTTCTTGCCATTGTGGGCCTTCGATGAAAAATATACCTGTAAAGTTTTACAGTACTTAGCTTTCATCTCTCGCGCGTTTCTAAGAGAAGTGTCAATGACTACGTTTACACGTCACCCCTAATCGGGTTTAATAACATCCGTAGTTCGAAGGCTGGCCAATCACAGTCATTCCATTCTTCAGAGAAATAGCCGTGATTGGCCAGTTTTACAACTACGGATGTTATTAAACCTGATTAAGGGTGCCATGTAACAGAGCTCTATCTTATTCTTATGTCTTAATTATCTACCGTTATCTACCTGTTACGTAAGCGTTCAATGTTTGTGGTATATTCAAAGAAAAAAAAGGAAATAAAAAATTCTCTTTATGCAAGAAATATCGCTATTTATCAAGAAATAAACGAACGAATAAACAATTATGACTCGCATTACCTAGCTTCTTTTTGAAAGCTCGATCTTTTATAAAATCCGCCTCTGTGACTCGGCCGTCGAACTCTTCCTTCGAGAATACCTCCTTTATACTGGCATAATCATTCGCAATTACCGCAAAATAATCGCCCATATAGCAGCTGAAGACCTTTGATTTTAGCTTCTTTGCGTAATATTCCATACCCAAATGTACATATTTGTAGTTTCTCCATAAAAACAACCAGTAAGCTCCTCCTATTGGAATCCTGATAAGACCTACGTCATAGAACTCTCGTAAAAAAATGATCAGTAGCCAACATCCAGATATGATAGATCTTGTTAAGCAAAATTCTATCCGTATCAACAAAAATATTCGTCAAAGATAAATATAATATTGGGTTGAACGGAAAGTTCGTGCCGTTTTTTCGGTCTTCATCTGTTAGCAAAAAACGGTACGAACTTTCCGTTCAACCCAATATAAAATATAGTGTGCATATATATGTGCATATATACAGGGTGTCCGGTAAAGATTGTGCCAACGCTCGTGAGCGGATAGAGCACAATAAATTGAACAGAAAAGTCCTGTAACATTTTTTTCTATAACGCTTAATAAAGGAGTTATTATTGAATAAAGTCTAATCAATCAGCGCCGACTTTTAGCCGGATGCACGTCGGTGAGCCGCCCGGCTGGTAGTGTATGCCGCCGTAGTGACGGAGCGTTCACGCACACTACCAGGTGCGCGGCTAAAGGCAGTGTTTCTAAATAAGCGTGAACAATTTTAGATTATTAATTTTATTACCAACCATGTAAAAAAAATTTAGCTCGATATCTCAAAATTTGCGAAAGTTAGAGCAACCACGTCCTTTTGATGCACATACATACATACATACACACATACGGACATTTTTTAAAAATGATGATTTTTCGATTTTAGAACATTCTGAACACATCGGCACCAAAATTTCAAAAAAAAATTTTTTCACAAAAACAAAGCTTCCTCTATAAGGAAGCAAAAAGTATTCAAATATATGCAGATTTAATATCAGTTTACCTGGAGGTGTATTGGGCGGTTTATCGTAAGCGAATCTGTATAATTTGTACACCACGAGTAACACAAGTACCACAATTAAGAGCGGAGACATAGTTGGATGAATGACAGATACTGAATGAAGAGATGAGAGTTTACGAGTCTATCTTATATTTTTTTAAATATGGTTGATATAAAAAGTTACAATGTCTGGACAGTAGAGATTATGAGATGTGTAGGCTGCGAGATATAAATTGTTTTCAATTTAATATCTCTTTCTCGAAGACTTAACTAGAGATACGGCAGATATTTGTTTACGATTTTATATCTCCTACTCAAAGCAATATTTTTAGATATCAAAGATGGTTATTACTGTGTTATGTGATGCGTAAAAAATACATGATTAAAAGCAATATTATCAGTACTCTTTGTTCGATATTTGTATCTTACTTGACCTTTGATCTTGACTATATTCAGGAAACTACTACAATGACGTTTACTTTATATATGTGTGATTAACACATGCAGTGTGCATGATATAGAATACACATGAGCATTAAGAAAAGCGAAATATGTACATATATATAATAAATTAAGTTTCACACAAGAAAAAGAAATAAGAACACATTTTTATTATTATATACTTATTGCAACGATCACACATAATCATGTTTTTCTGAATGTCATCCAATATCTTAATGGTCTTTAAAAGAACATGTGTTATAAATAACACGTACACATATATACAAATATGGCAATATAAATAGACAAGAGTTATGTTAATAAGATTATTCAAAAAAATAACGATTGAATTTTTTTCTATATACATTTACATATTATAGGATATCGATTCGTCGAAATCGAAAGTGAATGTCAAGTTTTTCCTTAATTGCCCATCTTCTTTTAAAAATCTTTCACTGAAAAAACTAAATAATCATTTGCTCCTCCATGAAATTTTACAACTTGTTTACCTTTTTAATCTTCGTTTATTTTTTCAGATAATTAGTTTCTTTGCGTAATACTTAATAGCTATTTTTGTAGTTTCTCCATAATAACAGCCAGTAAGCTCCTCCTATTAGAATCCTGAATAAGATCTACGTCGTAGAATTCTCGTAAATAAAAATGATCATTAGTCATCAGTCGAGATATGATAGATCTTGTTAAGCAGAATTCTATTGATATCATTAAGAATATTTGTTAAATATAAATGTTATATAAAATATAGTATACATACATATACATATATATGTATACATATGCATGTAAAAACTTCTTTTCCATAATTTATGTTATAGTAATGTTTGTTCAATATATATCAGTAACATTTATAAGGGAAAATATATACTCTGTTACACAAAGGATCCAATATTCGATACTGAAGACTGAGAGAAATCGGAATTGAGAATAAAAAAAGTTTATCAAATATAAGCAAATTTGATATCAGCTTACCTAGAGGTGTATTAGGCGGTTTATTGTAAGCGAATCTGTATAATTTGTATACCACGAATAACGCAAATACTACAATCAAAGACCGAGTTATAGTTGAATGAGCGATCCGAGGAAAAATGGACATAATGTAATTATATAAGATCATATAATTAAATACAAAAGACGCGATGTATGATCTGGCCATGTATAATATGCATCAGTATTATATAAGAAATGCATTGTATATATACAGGGTGTCCCATCAAAAGTGGCTTCCTCCTTTTATCTTTTAAACTAAAAGAGATAGACCGTAATAAATATATATCAAATCAAATAGTTCAAACTAAACTTTATTGTGAGCATAGTGGTTGCTTCCAAAAGCTATCTGTGTTAACGAACGGAGAGGTATGCATAATTTTTTTATAATAATGTGAATTTTTCGACACGAAGAAAGTTGTAGCGCTATTTGAAACAAATATAACGATATATCATATAATGTAAATTTTACATAATATAAGAGTTTTATCAACTTAAAATATCGCGGACGACGTCTACCTTTTCATTTTTGGTCCTGCGATATGAGCAATTTCGGATTAAATATTATAATCAAATGACAACATGATTGTCAATCTCTAATGAGTCAGAAGTTGGTCATAACGCAGGGCAGAAAGTGAAAAGGTAGACGTCGCCCGCGATATTTCAAGTCGATAAAATTCGTATAATATATAAGATATTTACATTATATCATACATTGTTGTATTCGTATCAAACAGCGCTATAATTTTTATCATATCGAAATATCCACATTATTATAAAAAAATTATGCATACCTCTCCGTTCGTTAATACAAATAGCTTTTGGAAGCAACCACTATGCTCACAATAGAGTTCAGTTTGAACCATTTAATTTCATATATATTTGTTATGGTCTATCTCTTTTACTTTAAAAGATAAAAGGATGTGGCCACTTTTGGTGGGACACCCTGTATAGCGTATACAGTATGGACGCACATAGCATATATAAAACGATTTGAAATATTTATATTTTATATATATGTAGTATATAATGAGAAAAATCTTCATTAAAAAAAAGGTAAAAGATATCACATTCTGTTCTTCACAAAAAAAAAAAAAAAAAAAAAAAAAAAAATTGTGCGAGATAGATAACGATTTAATTCTGTTTTTTTCTTCCAAGAGAGAGATAATCCATTCAATACTATATTTATCTTTATGTATATTTATATAGCAGCTTTATAGATAATATTGTTACTTGCAATCATTTCATTGTTTCCTCAACGCAGCAAATATCATAATAGTTTTTAAATTGTTATAAATTACACACGCATATGCAAATATTTCGGTTATTCATAAAAATTGGACCATTGCATACACGCTCTTTTTTATTTGATTCTCGTTTATGTATCTTGTGGAAAAGAATGAATAATTAAAATAAATATGTTGTAACAAAAATGTTTACTTTACAAATAATTATATATTGATGATTTTTTTTACATCATAAATAAAATATCTAAGTACCTATTGCGTTTTATCTATGTATTATGTACTTTTACATGAGAGAGTAAAATACTTTTATCAGAGCAGCATTCACACACATTATGATATAGAATACACTGTATATACAAATACGCGATTGCATCCGTGTCACGTAAGTTATTCGAAATACTTGATATCGCCACCCTGGCATACCACCGGCAAGCTATTGCTGAGTACCGAACGCATTCGAACATCGTTCATTACCGCACAGCCTACGTTCGGCGACAGTTGGTACAGCATGCAGATGCAATCTTCCAGATTCTGCATAATCGCACGATCGAACACTGGTGTCTCCGTCAGATCGAAATGCAGCTTTAAAAACGCGGTGTAAAGTGGAGTACAGTGGGCTGCCACTCGTAGGCGGAACATCAACAGGAACGTCTTTGCGGTCTAAGTGAGAGGAAAAAATACAGAACGATCATGCAAATGCTCCATTATTTATTTCATACTATATGGCCGAGCATTGTTTTAAAGTGTATCATACCTCCAATGTCGCCTTCAATGTTCTTAAATCTGTATGATGTTCGCAGTATTCGGCGAGTACGCGAGTGAGAGCTTCGCACCATTTGGCACAGCCTATATTTGTAATGAGTTGAGGTAAACTTGACATGTATGCATGTCGTAATTCGATATTCTGTTCAAATTCCATATTGTCTATTAAAGTGGAAAGAACGTCATCGCGCGTCGTCCACTATAAAAACAAAAAAAGAAAATAAAAGTTGCAATGATACTTTACATGGATTCCTGAATGATCTATAAGTAAAATTAAGCTCACCTCAAATAAATTTATAGTATTGTCCCAATGTTCGATAGTAGCTAAAAGACTAGCCATGCAGGAATACAAAGGAATAATATATCTTACTTCCTTTTGACGGGATAAAAGTTCCAGAGTATGATAGATTGCTTTAGCATAGCCAGTATCTATCAGTCCTTTTTTCTAAAATATTTTATCAACTAAATATCGAATCAACTAAATATATATATATATATATATATATAATAATAAAATACTGGATAAGAGTAAGTTTTTGTTAATAGTTACCATATAGGAATGCTGTATAATCTGGTACATACATTCCAGGCCTATCACTACATTATCAGGAAAATAGTCATCGAGAATGATTAGTGCAGTTGGCAAAACATCTCCAATATGATTAAATAAAACTGGTTTCTATAGAAGAACAGAAGGAAGTAGAATGTACAGATAATCTAATAATATAAAAAGTATAAAGAATCCAAATTAGGAAAAACTACTCACTTCTGCTTCTTGTAAGATCCATCTGTAACATGCCACAGCTGATGGATAAGTTTTCCAGGTATCCTTTAATAACTTAGGTCTTAGCAACAACAATAAGCTAATCAAATTTTCATCCTCTGACATAAACTGGGAGACATTTTGACAGGAGTATAGATTGTAAAAGCCAGCTAGTAGTTCCTTAGAAATAGAGACGCATTCAGCTGTATTCCAAATATTCCTCTCATTGTGCTCACCGATAAGTAATAACAAATTCATGCCAAATGTTTTAATTGTCCCTGTAGCGTTGCATAGCTGCAAATGCTTCTCCCTGCAACTGTTGGAGATATGCTGCAGCATAGACCTGACGTTGCGCAGATTTCTCTCCACAACAAGCCTGTATTCCCTGAAGTCCTTCTCCTCGCATGGACGTTCCATCCCGATCGTTCTTTGGGGCGCGAAACTCCTCTGAATCAGATCTATACATGGTGTCCAAGAATCGTCCTCGCAGAAGTCTCCCCTGATCTTTAACGTCTCCAGCTGCTTCAGCAGATTATCCATTTTCGCGACTCGGTAGATTTTCAAGATTCGATGACTCCAGACCCAGAACGAGACACGTCCCCGTAGTCGCTATCCCTTCCAGATGTATCTCACACGCCGAGATTATTTCGCAAACCGTTTCCCGAAACAATTAGCTGCCTCAGCCGTTTGAAGGGCATTCTGTCATCTGCAAAAATCGAAACCTTTCATCTAAGGATTGTCAGAGGTACATACGCCAAAATGATTGATCGCCGGGTGGACCAAAGGTGAAGTTTCGGGACGAAATTAAATTTCACCTGTCACGCGAAAATGATCCGTGTACAACTTATAGACGAGACAATAGCTTTTCGGAATCGCGACAATTTCGGCGACAAGATGCATTTGCTCGTATCTCCGTGGACTTAGAAGAATTGTACTTACCGAGATTGCACCGGCTTCGATTTTTAGGTCGGTCTCGCCTACGGCGTATATGTGACGTAACGATGGCTGGATGCGACGCAGCAGATACGAACGCGAGGGCGCGAAATTGAGAATTGTAAGGATTACAAATAATTACGGAGATGTGAAAAAATTCATGTATCTCTCGCGAAATAGTCTCGTGAACGGGAATGCTCAGTGTACGGACATGTCGAAATGATGCATCTATAATCTGATATAATTGCACGTACATGCACAATCAGGCACATACGTACCGTTTGTAATTCGCATGATATCTCTCGCCGATGCCACGATCGATATGTCGCTGCGATATATCGAGTGTCGCGATTTGAATTCTCGGAACCATATTCAAGCTAAAATGGAACCAACTTCCCTTTCTACATATATATATATATAATGGGCGTTTTCCAGCAAGGTACACAGACGACACAGTGTATTACACATTATCACACGATTGGCTGTCAAATGAAGAAATTTAAAATATAGCCAATCGCGTGATAATGGGCGTTTTCCAGCAAGGTACACAGACGACACAATGTACTACACATCATCACGCGATTGGCTATATTTTAAATTTCTTCATTTGACAACCAATCATGTGATAATGTGTAATACACTGTGTCGTCTATGTACCTTGCTGGAAAACGCCCATTGTGTAGTACACTGTGTCGTCTGTATACCTTGCTGGAAAACGCCCAATGTATAAATATAATTATACAAGGTGTCCATTATAATTTACCTCCAAAAAACTTTTTTATTTTTGATTGTAGAACAAAATGCTTCAGACAAAACTTGTTTGGTTTGAAGGGGGTCATCTCATGGTGATCTTTATTTGACATTGGATCAAAGTCCAAAGGCTTATTTTAAGGTCAACTTAATTTTTTTGAATTAAATCCTCTATTTTTTATTGCATCTTATAGTCCTTCTTGAAACCTTTTCAAAACACTATAATAAAGTATTTTTTCCTTAAGTATTTTTCGAATTATTTTATATCAAAATATGTCAGATTAAGATATAAAATAATTCGAAAAATACTTAATAAAAAAAATACTTTATTATAGTTTGAAAAGGTCTCAAGAAGGGCCATAAAACTATGCAATAAAAAATAGGGGATTCCATTTTAAAAAATGAAGTTGATTTTGAAATAATTCTTGATCCAAGGTTAAATGAAGATTACCATCAGATGACCCTCTTCAAACGAAACAACTTTTGTCTGAAGCATTTTGTTTTACAATCAAAAATAAAAAAAGTTTTTGGAAGGGCAAATTAAAATGGGGCACCCTGTATATATACAAAATAAAAAATTATAATATTATACATAAATAAATAATAATAATAACATTATATACATATAATAGTGTATAAAATGTGTATACGAAATAAAAATTCGAGGTCTAAAGATGGAACAAACCTGACGATATCGATTGTATCGCGATATACATATATCGCAGCGATTCAATCGTATCGTTCGCGCGCGCGCACGGTATGTCGCAGCCATTTTGCTCTTCCGTACGCTTTTTTTATACGTATATAATATAATATAAATTTCGGGAGTTTCGGTAATTATGAAAATTAATGAGGCTGTGTAGTAGCTGGTAGTTGCAATATGGCTGAGTACCGTTAGTTGATTTTTTATTCCTTTTATTTATCTCTCTAGATCATTCGTTGTCTGTACGTACCTTACATAATCGCGCGAGGAGAAACACGTACTGTATACATTACTCTATCCCTCTAGCAGTGTCCATCTTGTTTTCCGTATCCCTTTAGACGCCGCCCCTGTCATAATCTAATTTTTCGCTTCAACTCCCTTCGTGGAGAAGAGAGTGGCAAGTATACCAATTGGTAGAAATTGGCATATCCCCTTGCATCCACCTCGAAAACAAAGTAATCGTTTATAGTAATAAAAATATTATTTTAAAAATATATACGCGTATGCTTGTTTTTTTATTTCATTTAATTATTCCTCTGTGCTTTATTGTTAAAAATAATTATTATTACAGTATAATTTTTCTATATAATGTATATATATATATATATATATATTTCTTTTATATTATCTGCGAAAAGGGTCAGGTTCCTATTGCGTGTCATCAGGAGTTGGCAGTGATTCTGAAGTCATGGCTGAATTGGCGGCACTTCTGCGACATGAAATTCCTGAAGGAAGAAACAATCTGGCCGACAGCCATACAAATTTGGAGAGAGTGGCTGAATATTGCGAGGCAAACTATTTCCAAGCGGAAAATAAAAGAATTGCACTGGAGGAAACTAAAAATTATACCACGCAGTCTTTAGCCAGTGTTGCATATCAAATAAATACTCTGGCTTACAATTTTCTTCAACTGTTGGACTTGCAGACGTCTCAGCTTGCTGAAATGGAAAGTCAGATGAATCATATTGCTCAGACAGTCATGATCCATAAGGAAAAGGTTGCCAGGAGGGAAATCGGTGTCCTGACGGCCAACAAGATGACGACTCGTCAGTACAAAATTATTGCTCCTGCGAATCCTGAAAAACCAATTAAATATGTCAGAAAGAGCATTGATTACACAATCTTAGATGATATTGGACATGGTGTGCGTAGCTGCGGTACACCACGAAGCAAGCAGAGAGGTGGTAGTCAAGGCAGTGTTCAAAGTTTAGGTGCTGCTTCTACAGGTTCAGGCTTAGGTGCTGCTATGGTAGGACCTGCCCCTACTACTAAACCACCTACGCCACCTCAGACAGTGAGAACTGGTAAGAGTTATATATACATATACGTAATGTGTACAGAATGTTTGATACAATTTTACAATTTTTTCTACAAATAGAAAAATATGGATTTCTTGTCCTATTGTCATTTACAAGGATAATTTGCAATTGTACTATAAACTGTCAAACATTCTGTATGTACAGGGTGTCCCAGGAATGCTCTGGGACACCCTGCATAAGTGTTAGAGATTGAACGAGTGCTACACAAACTTGTAAAGGTGTACTTTTTCAGTTGCGGTTATAAAAAAATTAAAAATCATTTCGCTAAGGTATTTACTGCTTCTTTGCTTGCATGTGTGTCTCTTCTTTCTTTCGGCTTCTAAATGTTACACCATTCTACTTGTTATATCCAATGTGTTAAGTGTGTGCTGTATGAATCAAAGATATAAATATATCGAATAATATGAAAATTCTTTGTATAGGAACGTTGAGTAAAGGATCGCGCGAGTATAGGACCCCACCAGCTGTAGCTCCACCACAAGTACCTAGTCACTACGCGCCCAACTATCCGCTCGGCCATCCCAGGCGAGATCGTGGTCCAGGATACAGCACTTTACCATTGCATGCTCACAATACGTCCCATGCAAGCCACAATGCCAATCATAATGCGCACACTAATACCATCAATCAACATACTGTGCCACAAGTGGGAACGGTACATCCTCTACAGAGTCATCCGCAGACGCCACCGCCAGCACCGCCTAGTGTTACCGCGAGCTATGTGCAGGAGCAGCATAACAGTATGCCTCGTAAGTAACAAACAATATAGATATTACGATTAATATTAATAATATATAACATTGACGTATATACTATATATTATATAATTCTGTGATAACATATACTGCACTATTTAATATATTATGATTTCTTACCACCAGCTCCACCCTCGCCTTTGGTAGGACTAAGCGGCGACATGACAGAATACACTGGACATCATACTCTACCACACAGATTATCGCATCAGATTAGTCGTAGCAGCGGTGCGAATAGTCCGCCCTTGCCGCCGCCTCCACCACCGGAACAGGATGAACATCCACAATTCGGCAGACCGACTCCATCCTCTAGTGCTATAATGCCGATCGTGCCGGATGAGGAAGATTTGCCCGGATGGGTGCCAAAAAATTATATTGAGAAAGGTAGAGTCTCATCTTTTCTGCTTTCATTGTTATAAATAAAGTTATATTTATTAATATTACAATATCAAGAGAGAGCTATTTGGTACATATAAATCTAAAGAATGTAATAATAATATATATCAATAACACATATGATAAAAAATAACGTCATTGCAGTGGTGGCCATTTATGATTATTATGCGGACAAAGAGGATGAGTTAAGTTTTCAAGAGAGTTCTGTGATTTATGTGCTCAAGAAGAATGACGACGGATGGTGGGAGGGGGTGATGGACGGAATAACAGGATTATTTCCGGGCAATTATGTTGAACCATGCGTATAACTACATGCAATAATTGGATATATCAAAATAATTATTGGAAGACTGCAATTTTTAGACATTTATCATACATGTACATGTTATTCATCGCATTTATATTAATTATCAACATCGCAATAATGTAAACAAAAGTTACTCATCTCACTTTTCCTTTTAACAAATCAATCATTCCATTGATTTGCATTTATGAGTATACGGGAGACAATATTTTGAGGCTCATTGAAATGTTAAAAATATAATTTTTATTGTATTTTTTATACGCGTTATTTTATAATTTATTGACAAATGTACAAAAAGAATTCAAATTATTTAAGTATCAGTGCTCTATACAAGTGATATTGCACTTGCATCAATCAATAATCTGCATGCAATGCAGTAGTCGGTGCAAAGAGAGAGAGAAAAAGAGAAAATCCAAAGTAGCATAAACTTCCTTTATAGATTTTACGTCATTTCTACGGCTTATTCACGTCCTCTCGACTCTTGCCACGCCTATAGTCGTGCGAAATGCCAAGTACTAATTGATCATCACTATGTAATATGTAGGACAAAGAAGAAATGATGATAAAGTGTTTGATTGTCGACAAAAATAATTTAGTCAAGAGTTTCGAATCAAATACTAAGAAGTGAAATTTTTATATTAACGTAAAAAGATGTATTTTTCTGCATTTTTGGTATTTCTTCGCGGGAATAGATATTGAATTATATAGTAGTAGTATTATATTCTATTAATTATGTATCTCTCCCCCTTATATATGTGTATATATATATCTATGTATAAGAGATTGTATGTTGCAATAGAGATCTTTTACCTCTATGAGTGTATTTTGCATTTTCATTTGCAATATGATCACATATGCAATTGTTAAAAAAAAAAACAAATTTCAGACGAGAGAGTTGCAGCATTCCATATAAAGGAATGTAAATAAATAACTGCATGTTTTTTTTCTTTATAGACTTTATTAACATAAAATTAGGATAGGGAAAAGATGAGATCTTTTTGAATTTTCAGTGTCGAATAATACGCATTGGTATAATGTGACTTTTTGTATGTTTCCTTATCACAAAATTATGGAAGTTCATATATAAATAACTTTCTACATACACATCATTGGTCAGTTCAAGTGTTCAAGTGTTCCACCTTCTTTTTGGGATTCTTTTTTTTTCCTTTTTCTTCTTTTAAACAGGATGGATTACCTCCACCTTATTCGCATATCTCATTCCGACAATCGATTTTATCGGTGAGTTTTGCGCGACTGATAATCCACTAAGAACATAACATGTGTGATATATGTCGCGATTTCTGAGAAAAAAAAAAAACGACTTGATTGCGATGCGCGATTAACATCATTACAATCCAAATATATATATATATATATACATATGTATATACAATAACGTGATTGTAAATATATGGAATACACAGGGTGGTCCTCGTAACGGTCGCCACGATTTTTAAGGCACTTAAAAAGTAGGCAGGTTCCATTTAAAAAATTGAAGGTGACCTTGCTTTTTTATGGAAAAAAAATGTTTGGTCAATTTTTATTATTGCAATTTTTTGCCGGTTAGAAACTGATAAATTTCTGTTTATGACTTTTTTATGTCAGATTATTGTAAGTGCCTTAAAAATCGTGGCGACCGTTACGAGGACCACCCTGTATATATGTGAAATATTACATACTTTCCAGGCTTGTCTAAAAGACCGCCATGTGGGTTTTGACAGCAAGTTAATATATACTCTTGTAAGGCCTCTTGGTTGAACAACCAGTGGTCGGAAGCATTAAACGTCTTTTCCGTTGACAAGATAGCAGAGATTAATGGGAACGTCCCACCTTGCCAGAACGAATAGCAACCGTCCACCAATTTGTTCGTACGTCCTTGGAAACCACCCTCCAGACGCATTTGTTTATTTACTATCCATCTCTACGAAAAAAATGGCAAAGATATGAATGAAAATCGAATCGCGATTGTAAATGGAAGTCTTACCAACAGTTCTGGTAAATGGCACAGCTCTGTTTTCCCGAGCATTACGAGTGCTGCCAGAGCGCAATAAGCGTATCCGCCGTGAGCCTCCATTCCTGGACAACCGCCAAAACCACCTTCCCACGTCTGACATTTGGCTATCCATTCGGCGGTGTCCTTAAACATGTCTGGTGTATATACATTCGTCAGTTTAGCAGCGGCGAGGGCGCAGTACGCTCCCCGTATGTCTACCTCGCCATTTTCGTGCATACAGAAAGAACCATCCTCTCCGCGTAAGGAAGATAGAAAGCGTTTCAGGTTCTTCCTAAAATTATCAAACAAATCTTAAAGATGCTATACATAAATGCGTATGACGAGTTTTAAAATAATATTACAAAGAAAATTGAATATAAAGTATACTTTTTATATCTAGAGTATATTTTACCTATCTATCACATCGTATGCCTCCTGTGTACCGATAGTGCATAACGCGTTCACTGCTGCGTACGTAGAAGCTAAATGTGGATATTGTCCTGGACCTCCTCCGAAACCGCCTGTCGGCGACTGACATTTGGCTAGGAAGCCTGCTATCTTGGAATATTCCTCGTTCTCCAAGCGTTCTCCTAATATCGCAAGTGAATGCAATATCCAAAAACAAAGCCATGGTCTGCTGGAGTCTAAGCACTATCATTATTATAAACATTCGATAAGTCCTTTATCATTACAAGGAAGAATATCTTAAATCTTTCTCACAGAGCAACGTTTACACACATTGTTTTATATTGAAAGTAAAAAATACCTCATAAGTTTCGCTTAAATGAGTGACTGCTTTCTTTAAAAACTGGACGTGCTTTGGCCTAAGTAAAATAGGATCCGTGTCTTTGCATGATCGGTAAAACTTTAGCACTGTCTCCTCGACACGAGCCTAAAAAGACATTACAATAGAAAACGATAAGACAACAAATTTTAATACAATAATGTACAATTACAGCATTAAAAAATACATATACAAGAGAATATGTTCGATGAAATAAATATGTGTACTTATTTTATATACTTTTGTGGAGAGATTTACCTACTTGCTCGTTTGTGGTTGCTGTTTTATATCCCTCGTCATCTTGTCGCTGTTTTAATATTTCCTCATAACTTCGACCTGTGTGTAGGCCTAATTCCGAGTCCGACATAATCTGTGGATAACAAAAGTAACAATGATATGTGTCACAAATCTCTTAATAAAAATAATCTGTTATTCAAAGTAAGGTATTTCAATAATCGAGAGAAAGAGAGATAGTTTATTTCATAATTTTATTATAAAATATCCGCCAAAAGAGACTCTTTAGAGGTTAAGAACCCTTCTTGCTACATATCATAGTTTACAGAATTTTGTATCGTGTATTTTTATATGACACATTATCATGCCGTACTTACGCTTAAAATTACGTTAATATGTTATTAAATATTATTATATATACAATATTAACGAGTATTACGGTTATACTCATAACCTATCTAATTTTGGTGTCGCTTGCATAGCGCGATGTTAAGGCCGGTATTGCATGGCTTCAACTGTCATTTTTGCCGAGTAAGCAAGTCACTCTGATTGGATGAGAAATTTGCAAATACCCTTTACATATAATATATATATTTTTTGGTGTCGCGCGATGTTAAGGCCGGTATTGCATGGCTTCAACTGTCATTTTTGCCGAGTAAGCAAGTCACTCTGATTGGATGAGAAAGATGAGAAATTCCTTTACATATAATATATATATATA